TAAACCTCATTCCACGAGGAATAATGGGGCTGCCGACAAAGGGCTTTGATGTCAACAGGGGGAACGTCCAGACTAGTGTGCGAGCCGACAAACAGCTGATCAGCTGTTTGTCGGCTCAGCGCAGCAGCCATGTAAATGTAAATGAAGCCGCGATCATTTAAATCGCGGCTTCATTTGCCTTTGCCTATGTGTTTAATCTACATGCCTCTGCCGACAGAGGCATGTAGTCTAGACACAGCCAGGGTGACAAGCAGCCAGTCCGCAAAAGGAGCTGGTTTTTAAACTATCTTCCTTCATGGACTAGCTCCCACCTGGCACCTCGCAGTGCTGCCAGCCCTGCCCTCAGGGACTATAGAATAGTTGACTAACCGATAAGAATTCATAAGGTTACTCAACTATTCAGTTAACCGATATTTAACATCCCTAGCTCAGTGAGCCTGGGTGGGATCTGCAATGACCTCAGGAGTAGGAGAGATGGATTTAGTCCCTTCATTGTGGTTCCTTTCTCTTCTCAGTTCTCAGTCATTGGACTGTGTGGTGGTTTGGGATCTTGGGCACTGGAGGGATATGGTTGACAATGACAAACTGTGAGAAAGAATCTTTAAGCCTTGTTACCAACTGCCAGATTGGGCAGCAGCTGTGCAGTAAGTGTATCTGTGGGAATGGGAATAGCAGACACTCAGTACTTGTTGGGTCCTGCTCTAGATAGATGCACCAGGGAGATGGCCATCCCTCTGTAATCCAAATTTTTGCTTATTTTAAACGCATCACATCGCAATGCACACAGAATCCTCCTACCTATTCCCTCAGGCAAACTTGCTGCTTTTCTATGCTGTGCAAGAAAGCAAGCTCCTCTGAGAGATTTTGTCCGGTATCTAGAGACGTTGAATGTAAATCAGTGGGAATTCTGTCTCTGCAAGGACATTAGGAGCTGTCCCAGTACCTTTTATTAGCAGTCTGATGTGGATGATGCCATTAGCTCTTTGAGGGGCATTTCCCAGATCAGAGATTTCCTCTGAGAACAGATATTTGTGGTTGAATTTTCCTGAGTCCTGCATTGATCTATGACTTGTGTTTGATTCTCTCATTTCTGACAAATGTTAGAGAGTTGAAGTGTCTTGTCTTGTGTATTTACACATTTCAAAATATGTTGCAAACAACTGAAATGGCAACATGACAGTGTTTCTGTTTAATTAGCTGCACTCCTGAGACCTTGACCTGTTTTTGCTTTTCAGAGAAAACACTATATGGCTTCTATTGGAGGATAGCAAAGAGGCTCAGCCCCTTTAAAATCCTGGCTGATGTCTATGGTGAAAATATCCAAGATGATAGGTTATCTACAAGCACAAACATGCACAGAACTATTTTGCAGCTCCTCACATGTGCACGTGCATCATGCACATGCACACAACCTATTTCACAGCTCCTTGCCCTGTCATTGCATCTGACGCTATTGAACAAGTTTAGAATCCAGGGAAGGTTTGAGCACACATTTACACTATGGGAGACATGCCTGAGAGAAATCAGAGGATGTCTGTTATTTTTTCATTGAAGACCATCTGCATAATTTGCATCTTCTCAATCCATATCCTCACAGGACTCACAAATATGTTACTTGTCAGGAACTGCTGGTGCAGAGAGGCACAAGCCGCTGTGATAACTGAATACATAAAAAATGAAACAAAATAAACAAACAAAAAATAGATGGATTGGGGATAAAGACAAGGACTCAGAAGACCTGGGTTCAGTTGCTTACATGGGTGACATTTGCATGTGCCTCAGTTTCCCCATCTGTAAAATGAGACCTGTGATTCTAGTCTCCCTTGTAAAGTGTTTTGAGATCTACTGCTGAAAAGCTCTATACAAGAACTAGGTAGTATTATTAAAACCCAATGGGTCCTCAACTTGATTTCACTGTTTATTTTCTATTCAACCTCCAGCAGCCAGGCACTATCTTATTGAGCAGGCTCTTTCTATAGGTTCTGCCTCCCCTATGCATTCTATTCAGAGTGGATCTTGTTTGGTTTTGCTGTGTAAACAGTACAACTGACTCAGGCAGCTGGCATGTCCTCCTGCCTCCTAGGTGTAGGCACCTGTGAGCAACAGGGCAGCTCCTTAGCTCCTCTCTCCCTGCAGTGTCTGGTCTGGGAAGGGGGAGAAGGGACCTTGTGTAAGCTACACACCTACTGGGTGTGGTGTACTGTTCCACCTATGTGGTGTACGTATCTCACCTTTCTTTGGGGATGTGCTCATGTTTGGGGCTGTGGTGACTCAGTAAAGCAGCCACCATTTTTACTTCTCCCATGTCGCAACTCTGGCCAAAGTCACCAAGATGGCCTTGCTATAAAAGAGCTGAATTTACTACGCTCTTTACTTTGTGAATATCTAGGAAATGTAACAACAGTATAATTTCCTCAGCTCCAAAAAAGGGTTTATAGTGCACATTAAGACAAGTAAATCAGCTTTCAAAACAACAGGACTAGTCACCATAAATGTCCCATTGATACGACTCCATTGTCACAGAGCCTGATTTCTTTTGAGGTCACTTGCAGGTCATGTGTTAAGCAGAAGTTAATCGTTCTGTGAGCTGTAATATCAAAAAATACTTTGTGTTTAGGTATTGTTGTTGAATGGAGGAGTGAGATATTTCGAACCATCGGCTGAGAAATATGGTGGAACGTAATGGCCATAATGAAAATCGATTTATTTTTGTTAAGTAAAGAAACATACAAGAAAAAGGTGGCACTGCCCATCCTCCCAAATGGTGACAGTAACTTTGCCTCCTAGAATTATTGAACTTTCATCTCTAGTGACTATTTTAATACCCAGAAATGTTCCTTGGTTTCTATATTTGGGGCAGACAAATCCCTAATGCATGCTAAAAGCTATGTCTTTACTGTCACCTCTTGGTAATAAATGTCAGCTGGTTCCCAGACAAGTTTTGTTGACCAGCGTGATATTGTGTATACCCCATCATTATGTCTCCTTGGCACCATCACAGTGGGGTGACCCTTTACGTTTGCCTAAGCTAAAACAGCAAGGTCAGTTCTGCCATGTTGATTTGCAAAGCACCCACTTGGTTTGTGCTGCATGTTGTCCACAGCATTACCATCCGGACATTGCATCACATCACTGTGCAAGGATTCTAAATTCAGCTTGGCTCCTTTTCAAGGCCCGTTTCCTCGTTAAGCATTAATCCTTTGTTTTTGTTCATCTTTTGCACTGTATTGGGGTGTTCACTGCACATGCAAAACACACAGAAGTGACACTTGCTTTATGGCAGTGGTCTCCAACCTTTTAAAGTATGAGATCCCTTTTTGAATTTAAGTGCAATCCAGGATCTACGTCAAACCCAGATACCTTTGCCCCACCTCCTTTGTGCCCCTTCTCCAAGGCCTCGCTCCTGCTCACTTCATCCTTCCTCTCTCCCCCATATTTCCTCCCTTTCATCTGATGGGGCAGAGGATTGGGGTGCAGGCTTTGGTTTTGGGCTAAGGGATTTGGAGCTTGAGAGGGGCTCTGAGCCTAGGTCAGGAGTTGGGGTGCAGTAGGTGGTTCAGGGTAAGGCTCTGTAAGGGAGTCTGGGTCTTGCGGGGCTCAGAGCTAGAGCAGGAGTTTGGAGTACAGGAGGGAGTTCATGACTGGGGCAGGGATTCAGGATGCAGGCTCCAGCTGGATACAGCTTACCACAGGTGACTCTTGTGGGGTGGTGCAGTGAGGCTAAGGCAGGCTCACCCCTGCCCTGGCCCTGCACCACTCTCAAAAGCAGCCAGCAAACTACCTCCCTCCCAAACCCTGTTGTGCTCCCCACCCCTTCTGTAGAGCTAGAATACAGGGTGGGAGAGGGGAACAGCTCCAAGGCAAAGGGCAGGAGCAACGGAAGTGCCAACCCTCGACAGCTTCTTGGCCAGACCAGTCAAGTTCACCTCTCAGAGGCTCCAAGATCTACCAGTAGATCCTGAGCTATTGGTTGGTGACCATTGCTTTATGGGCTCAATCCTGGAAGGTGCTGGATGCCCGCAACTCCCACTGAGTTGGCTGGGGCTTCCTATGCGGCTCTTGAAGAGTGCTCAAAAATGTGCTCCAACTTTGACCTATGAAGTTATAGAATGCAATCACCGGCTATCTCTGCTTAGATCAAGACGGGAGTCTTGCTGGCTGGAACCTGTAGCCTCTAAGGACAAACTCTCCTCCATTAACATCATTCTGTATTATTTAATACTTCTGGTATAATAGCAGAGGCCCTAGAAGGGGTGATTCAGTAACATCCAGAGGCCTAAGTGTTACCAAGGGGGAGACAGTGTGCCACATATGAAGGCTTAGTTCTTGCCCCAGAGACTTTACAGTCTAAAACAGGTGTGGGCATTCATTTTTAATGGGGGGGGGCCGGGGGCACTCCAAGATTTTGGCAAGTGGTCGAAGGCCACACTTCTGTGCAGGGGGCACGGGGTCTGGGATGGTGGATGGGGTGTAGAAGGGAGCTTAGGATAGAGGACTCAGATGCAGGAGGGAGTGTGGGGTCTGAGAGAGAGAGTTTGGGTGAAGGAGGGGGTTATGATCTGGGGCAGGAGCTTGGGGTGCAGGGTCCAGGAGGGGTTATGGGTGCAGGAGAGGATTCTGCACTTGGGGAGGGGTGTTGGAGAGGGTTCAGGGTCTGGGAGGGAGTTGTGACCTGGGAGAAGGGGAAAAAGGGGGTTCAGAGGGTTTGGATGATGATATGGGGCAGGGGAATGGGGTGCAGGATCAGGGAGGGGTATGTGTGCAGGAAAGGATTCTGGCCTGGGGGAGGGGTGTAGAAGAGAGTGCAGCACCTGGGAGGGAGTTGTGGCCTAGAGGAGGCGGGGAGAGGGGATACAGAGGGTTTGGGTGGTGTCCTGAGTAGTTGGGAGGAAAGTGGGAGTGGGGTACCAGAGGCAGTCTCTGATTGGGAGGTGCTTATCTAGGTGGCTCCCAGCCAGCAGCTCTCCAGAAACCTGAGACAGGATCCCTATGTGTGCTGTGCGGGCTACTCCATGTGACTCCAGCACAGGGAGGGAGGGAGAGAGCAAGGGGCAGGGGGGAGTGAGGAGGCTTCATTTGCTGCCCCTGCCTTCAGCAAAATTTCTCAGCTCTTATTGTCTAGAAACTGGCCAATGGGAGCGGAGGGATTTTGCCAGGGGGCAGGGACAGCACACAAAGCTTTTGACTCCCTGCCCAGACTGCACAGCAAGTAGTGGCTTACTGTTTAAAGTGGCTGCAGCTGCTCTTTAGTGAGTGTGCCGGCGAGGTGGCGGCAGGCCGAATCCGGTCTGCTAGCTGCCTCTTACCCATCCCTGGTCAAAAATGAGAAAGGACATAAAAAAGGCAGGGAAATAGGAAACAAACAACTATTTTCTTGATATCACCTGTTAAAACTCCAGACACAACAGAAGTCCAATGTCAATACGGCACTGCACAGTCCATGAAATTAGCATTGTGCATAGCATATTCTTAGCAACACCTCTTACTTTGTCTTTTCCAAACTTGGCTTGCCCTATGCTGCTGTTATCTCTGGCATAGGTTTTTTTTTTTTTTTTTGGTCATTCTGAAATTTTTATTTACATTTGTCTCAGCCTCTCTTTTTTTGCATCTTTGTTGTTTGACAAGCTTTCTGGCTCCCTACATATTAGAGATATGCTATCAAAACCAACTTGACTTTCTTGAATTAAATTTCACTGCAATTCATTTAATTACTTCCTTTATGTTAGAAAAATGGCCCTGTAATTGTGTATATTTTTAACCTGGTTCAATAAAATGTCTTTCAGGTGGCTTATGTGTTGCTGTAGGTTATCCACTGGATACAGTAAAGGTATTGTTTGAACTTTACTTCTAAAACTTAAGTTCTCTCTCTTGCCCATTTTTCTACATTTCGCCCCATTTAGTAAATCCACTCAATGTGCAGCGGCAGTCAAAAAAGCAAATAGAATGCTAGGAATAATTAAATAAGGGACTGAGAATAAGACAGAGAATATCTTACTGTGTCTATATAAATCCATAGTGCACCCACATCTTGAATACTACATACAGATGTGGTTGTCTCATCTCAAAAAAGATATCTTGGCATTGGAAAAAAGTTCAGGAAAGGGCAACAAAAATGATTAGGGATATGGAATGGCAGCCATATGAAGAGAGATTAATATGACTGGGACCTTTTAGCTTGGAAGAATGATGACTAAGAGGGGATATGATAGAGGTCTATACATGACTGGTGTGGAAAAGTAAATAAGGAAAAGTAATTCATTCATGCTTAAATTCGACACTTTATGCCTGAGTTTGAATAAAGAATCTAATTACCTTACTCATTACAAAGATAGCTTCCCCAATTATCACCTCTAATATCATTAGCGCACAGACATTTACCTTCCCTCCCCCATCCCCTTCTGTTCTGAAATTTGATTTGTCCTTTTCATATGTGTTCATATGAGTTTTTAATTGTATCCTTTGGTATATATGGTTGTGACAATTTTCTTCCACTATTTGAGCTGAGGAAGTGGGTCTGGCCCACGAAAGCTCATCACCTAATAAACCATCTTGTTAGTCTTTAAAGTGCTACATAGTCCTGTTTTTTGATTCAGCTACACCAGACTAACACGGCTACATTTCTATCACTTTACTTTTCCCCATAACACAAGAACTTGGGATCACTAAAGGCAGCAGGTATAAAACAAACAAAAGGAAGTTTTTCTTCACATAACACACAGTCAACCTGTGGAACTCCTTGCCAGAGGATGTTTTGAAGACCAGGACTTTAACAGTGTTCAAAAAAGAACTAGATAAATTCATGGACAATAGGTCGTCCAATGGCTGTTGGCCAGGATGGGCAGGAATGGTGTCCCTAGCTTTTGTTTGTCAGAAATTGGGAGTGGGTAACAGGGAATGGATCACTTTATGATTAATTGTTCTGTTCATTCCATCTGGGGCACTGAGCATTGGCCACTGTCAGAAGACAGGATACAAGGCTAGATGAACCTTTGGTCTGACTGAGTATGGCCATTTGTATGTCCTTATGTTAGTGATGTAACTGAATGCTTTAATTTTTTCTTTCAAATTCTTTATACAAATGCATTCTATAATTAACACCTGATAGTGTCTGCGGTCAGCTTGTTTGAGGACAAGATGTTACCGCAAATAAAATAGTGTGGTATTAAAATATTCATTAATATTTTCTGAATGTGTTGTCCTTTATAGGTGAAAGTTCAGACAGAGAGGAGCTATAATGGAATTTGGCACTGCATTCGAGAAACATACAAAGCAGAGAAAGTAAGTACATCTGGTTTAATACATTAAATTTATCATAAAGGCAAGTGTAACAAGAGGAACAATGATCCTATGAATCCACTTGTTAGCAGGTGATGAACCCGCTGAATGATGCTAAGTGCGTCATGCTGATTCATATTGCAAGTAGCCCATCAATTCCATTCTAGATAGAAGGGAGAAGAGATCTTAGAAGTGACCAAAGAGAACCTAGAGTTTGGAATGGGCAACCCTGAGACTGGACTGTACAAATAGCCAGCCCTGGGGAGAAGACTTAGGTTGAAGTTTATTTTATTGTTAATTTGTTAAGAAAGCTAACTTCAGGGTCAGGGTGAGTTTTGATTCTACAGTGTATTGATTGTGTTTTAGAGCAGACTTTGGTAGGGTATTTGCATTAAGGTACAGGTTATTTCCTTTCTTATCCATTCTTTCTCTTTCTCTCTTTCAAACCAGGTATCGGGATTTTACAAAGGCATGTCACTGTCAGTCTGTACAGTGTCGCTTGTTTCTTCTTTTTCATTTGGCGCATACAGAAACTTCCTTTATAACATCTGCAGATTAAGATACGGCACTTCAGATGCAAAACCATCAAAAGTGGATATTTCTGTTGCAGGATGTGCTACTGGTGCTGTTCGGGTAAGTAAATCACAGAAAAGGCCACACAAAATATCCTGTTTCCATATATGTGAAGCTGGAAAGATAGTGAATAGCTTTTGTTCAGACCTTATAGGAAGGTCATTGAAACCCACTGTTTCTAATAACCCTTTGTAATCTTGCAAGAGATTTTTTTTTTAAAGAAGCTCTACTCTTCCTTGGTTGTGTCCACATATGTTGGTTTGGATGGTAGAGTGACTCAGTCTTTCTGGGCATCTGACATTGTTTTTATTTTAGAGAAAAGGATTAAAATATTTAAAAACACTTATAATGAATTACAAATTTGTATTTCCTTGCTCCATCTGGTGGACCATTCAGTAAATAATTTTTCATAGCGGGTCACATTATATAGTTCAATTTACTACCCAGATTAATTCAGGAAAATCAAATAGCAAAGATTTCTCATCTCAGTTTAATGTCTCATATTGTTAATGGCATTAGTTCCAGCCCACTGGTACATGTATTAGAATTGTTATAATGTACTGTTAACTTATGATTCCCTCCTTCCTTCCCTAATGGCCTGACTACTTGTTCTTACTGTTCAGTACAGTCTAATGGGCTTCTGTACTATGCCCCAGTGAACCACCTTTGCCTGCCTCTCATCCCACTCTGTGCCACTGTGTGCCTCATGCTTAGGTGGCTCCACGCTTGAGGTCTTCTAGTTGCTCTATGATGATTTAGGATGTGCTCAGTTGAATTGGAGGAGGCTGGGAATGGTTAGCCTTAGGCGATCTACTATTGCCTGGAAAAGTCAAGTGTGAAGGCAGGATAATGACGTTAATTCAAATTCTGTGAAAGTTTAAAAGTTGTACGTTTTTTAAATTTCCCAGGTGGTGCTAACATCGCCAACTGAGACAGCTAAAGTTCGAATGCAAACTCAGAAGCAATCACATTGCTCAGTTACAGCTTCCCACCTCCCTAAGCCCAAGTATCAAGGTCCTGTGCATTGTCTGAGGATGATAGTGAAGGAGGAAGGCTTTCGAGGCCTATACAAAGGTTGTTCAGCATTACTGTGCCGGGACTGCCACTCATTTGCAACATATTTCCTAACCTATAATATGCTATGTGAGTGGCTGACTCCAGCTGGAAAAAATAAACCAGGTACGTGGAGAAAAAGGGCATGGATATTTTGAGTATACACTCTCTGTACCTATCTCCTTGAAAGTTTGTCTCAGAAAAGGTCCTTATTAAAGGCTGATGAACACTGGCTTTCATCCACCAGGCTTACAATTATTGCATTTATATACTGCCATTCATTCAATTGGCTCCCAAAATAATTTATTTACTGAATGCACAATTTATATATAGTAAAATATGTCTGAGGTGACTATTTTAATGTATCAATAAGTCGTTCAGTGTTGTTTTCATCACTCTGTAATTAGACCCTGCAAGCTAAACAAAGTAGAGTGGGATTCCTTGAATAAGTGGCATGTAGTGGACACCCAAAAATGATTTCTCAGTCAATAGGAATCACATTGCTTAGGAATAAATTCAGCCACCTCTGGGATGAAAGAGGACACATATTTACAAATGCAAAATGATCTTACTAAAGTTGTGTAGGATAGGACGCAAAAATTGTGATATGTGTTTGAAGATGCAGATGCTATTTACTCTAAAAAGAATGGAATTGAAATTTGACTGAACATGTTGGGGATGACACACCCAGTCTTAGATGATGTGCGAGGGATTGAGGAAACCATCCAGTTTATGGTAGGGCAGCGTTCTGCAGTAATACACTAGGGCTAGGACATTGGTTCTGTACTCAGGAGTTAATCCTACAAGGTGCCAAGTAGTTTGAACTCTCATTTGATTAAATCCTTTAACAAAGGATTTAATTTAATCAGAGAGAGTGGCAAGTCCTCAGTCCCTTTCCGGACTGAATTCTAGAGGGGGGGCAGTTAGTGCATCATCACCACCACTTCCTGCAGGATGTGAGTCTTCTTTGAGCAATCTCCCATCTGGGTGGTTTCCCACCCAACTCTGTTTGGGTTGTGAAAGCAGACCAACTTCATGAGACTGTAATTATTCCAAATGTAGCAATCTCTTTCATGCACTCGGAACGCTTAGTTCCCAAGCTATGCACCTTCTTTGCAGATAGCGATGGGGAGGGATTCCAGCAAATGAGACAAAACAATCATTCTACATTCTGCAGCACTGTATGCTCTACATGCTGAGGCTGTAATCTGAAAGCCAAGGCCTTTGCATTATCTCAGACACAGCAACAAAAAATGCCTTAAGGTTCTTAATAGGCAAATAACCCCAAAATGCCTCCCCTTTGGGCTAAGCCTAACTGTGAGATATTTCTGCAAAGATTATTCTTGGGGAGAAAGTTATATAAGAAATTGGAATTGGGGGAGAGGGAGGACTCCAGCTGCAGAGAAACTGAGCACCCAAGAGTTGGAGACATTCATCATCATGTTCCAGGCAAGTTCCAGGGCAGCCTTAACTACAATGTCTCAAAAACAAATACTATATTAAAATAGGTAAAGTGCCTCCCGCCACATGTCTTACAACGCTACATGAACACTGAGTATGCTGTGAAATCAAAATGTAGCACACTGAAAATATTGGAACAATATATAATATGCAGGTGATAGATATTCTGTAGAATACTACTACACCCAATACAAGATAGCTATCTGGAGTAAGAAGTTCCAAAGCCTAGTTTCATTAAGAGCACAACTTTGACTTCTTCCCCTTTACGAATTGCATAAATCAGTGGTCACCAACCAGTAGAGCCTTTAGTGGTAGTTCCTAGAGCCTATGACAGGGGATCCTGACTACTTTGGCCAGGAGGTTATCAAGTACCAGCACTTCAACTGCCCTTCCCCACACTGCCTTGCTGCTCCTGCCCTCTGCCTTCGAGCTGCTGCCTGTTTGTCTCCTGCTTGCTGTGCAGGATGGAGGAGACTGAGGAGGGGGGACGCTGAGATGTTAGGGTATCCACTTCCCTCCACTCCTGTACCTCAACTCCACAAAGTGAGCAGGGTGGGGCCTTAGAGAAGAGATGGGGCAGGGCCAGGGCCTCGGGGAAAGACGAGGAAGAAGGAGGGGAAAGGATATTTGGGTTTGAGGTAGACCCTGGATTGACTTAAATTTAAAAAGTGATCTTGTGCTCGAAAAGGTTGGAGACTACTGGCATAAATGGTCAAGCGCACTGCAGATTTATTTAACTTTATTTCAGCATCAGGTCAGGCCCTGGTCACAACTGGAGGCATGATATGAAACTTGATCATATATTAGCAGTGCTGTTTGAATTATTATATAGTTTAAGGGGCGTATATACTTTAGTGATGGGAATAATACAACCTCCTGGAAAGATTAGAATGGTCAGATGTGGCATGATAAATCTAGTGGACTGACTGAACTTCAGTTGAAGTCAATAGAAAGTCCAGCCACATGAGGAGACTCTGATCTCACTTATAGCGTCATAATGCTATTGATATCAGTGGTGTTACTTCAGACTTAGAGTGTTGTGAGATCAGGCACACTGTACAAGGCTAATTGTTAGTAAAACTGTCTCTTTCTGCAGGTTTTGCTCTTCTCCTAAAACTGTTCACAGTGTTAGCTTTGAACAAATAGCTGAGAAAGGTCTCTCTGGAAATGCTTAGCACTGTATCATTACCAAGCTCTGATTAACTACTTCTGCTGTTGGTTTTCTTTTGGCAGACATACCGACAGTGCTTATTTCTGGTGGCAGTGCTGGAGCATTGGGGTGGGCCGTGGCTACTCCTATGGATGTAATTAAATCGCGGATGCAAGTAGATAACTTGGGACAGTGCAAGTACAGAGGACTCATACACTGCATCAGAGTAAGTGTGAGAGAAGAAGGAATAAGAGTTCTTTTCACAGGACTTGGATTAAACTGCATTCGTGCTTTTCCTGTGAACATGGTGGTATTTGTAACATATGAAGCTGTAATGAGACTTGCAGAACGTCTTATGAAGTAAAAGCATATTACATCACTCGGTTCTAAGGTGGCTGCTTCCTCTGAGAAGGCTTTTCATATAACAGATCACGCAGACAACAGTCCATCAAGAGAGGACTTGAGTGAAATCAGTAGACTTATGGGGAAGAGAAATACAGAACTGGAGAGAAATGGTTGATTACTACTACACCAAGTCCATCTAGTTGTCTCATCAAGTTGTCTCCTACCCTTGTACAAACTTCATCTAACTTGTGTAGCACCCTGTAATTGTGCCTCCGTGAGACACAACTGAAAATACTGAATTCAGGACAAGGTTCTGAAAAATAGGGTAGATACACCCCAAAACTAATGGTTATTTTTCCATAAGATATACCAAACCAGCAACAAAGGTAAACTTCTGTTTCATCATACTGGCTAACAAGACGTGAGAAAAGCAATTTCCTTAATCATTGCAGTCCTTGTATTACCAACAAAACACCAAACTTATTTACCAGTGGTCATTTAAAACCAGTTTAATCAGATAAAAAGGTTCTTTTGATCCCAAAGGACCCGTCACATACCCAGGTCAATATATAACTCAGATCTTAATAAGAATGCTGTTTCTAAAATCTAACGATTTATTTATAAAAAAGGTGAGAATAAAAAATGGTTAAAGGAATCAAATACATACAATACTTGCAAAGGTATTGTTTGTTCAGGCTTGTAAAAATGACGGAATAAACTGTTGGCTTGTTAAGTCTCTGGTTGCTTCTAAATCATTGGAAGGTTGTTTGTCTCTTGGTTAGAATGCTCCCATTAGGATAAATTCATAGTCCAGAGGTTTGAGCAGGAAAGAGACTGAAGCTGGAAAGAGGCGACATGGAGATGTTTCTAGCACCTTTTTTTATAGGTTCTGCTTTGTGAAGAGCACTCCATTGTTTCTAAGACAGCCTGTAGCACAGCTAGTAAAATATTAAAGGTAAAAGATGGAATTTGGGGTCACATATCCATGCACCATTCTGCTTAGTCACAATAGAAGCCATTGCTTATACTCCAAACAGCACAGTCACAGGAAAGTCTATTCAGCATAGGTGGGCATCTTCCACTGTGAATTAAATGCAGGCCCGCCGATCGGAGGAGAGGGTGGGGAGGGAGGAAAGGGGCAGTTGCCCCAGGGCCTGGTAATTCAAAGGGGTATAGGGCTCCCAGCTGCTGCCACTGCTATCGCGAGACTAGTGATGGCCAGAGCCCCAGGCCCTTTACAGCACAGCTATCAGGGCTGCCTTGGCCTGGGGGGTGGGAGTGTGGTGTAGTGTGCGCTGAACAGTGCTGAGGGCTGTCTTGTCCCAGTGCAGTCCAATAGACTCACACATGGGACAAAGTGGCAATTCCCTCCACAGCAGGTAATAAAATCCCAAACCCTTAACATGTGGCTTGAGGACACAGTTCTAGGCTTGGGGGGAGAGGTGGGTTTGTCTCCCCAACAATCTCCCTGCCTTGAGAACGAAAGGCCGGTACAACTCATTGCGCTGCGATGGACCCTCCGGTTCTGAGATGGCACCGGACTCCTCAGTCATCGCAGAGGGGATAATTGCTGCTGGCAGGTGTCTTCATGCTGCGGTCAGGCTACATGCTGTACCAGGATGTCCCCTCACCACCAAGGTGTGCAGAGCTCAAGGGGCAGGTTACAAAAACTATACTAAAAATCCCAACTTTAGTCTCCCACCCTAGTGCTTTGCCAGCCTCAGAGCAGGACCTGGACCAGCAGCTGGAGCAGTGACACCTTGTGGTGACAGGGAGCTGGAGAGCTAACGCAGCCTGGTAAAGCAAGTGGCAAGGAGTGTTTCCCAGCAAAGCCATCTAAACTGGAAGCTGCCTTGAAGAGAAAAGGGCCAAGCTGAGGGAGCTTGTGGTCACTTCTCCTGGGAACACTAAGTGCAGTTCTGGGACCAGCTCCCCACACAGCCAGTGCTGCTCTGTCTGTGGCTAGCTCCAGACTTCTCCAACATGGTTTCTGTCCCTCCAGGACTCCCAGGGGCAGACATCTTACTGCCTATTGGTCGGTCTAGCTCAGAGAATGACAAAATATTGACCATGGGCTGAATCTGGCCTGCCAAGCCACGAGATCCAGTGCCCGGCTCAGCAGGAGCCTCAGTCAGGCTCCCTGCCTGCCCTGCCACCGCACGCTGCTCAGAGCAGCTCTCTGAATGCTGCGAGCACAAGTCTGGGGAAGGTGGAGCGAGGCTTCATATGCTGCCCCCACTCCCAGCACAATCTTGCTGCTCTCATTGCCTGGAAACCGGCTAATGGGAGCTGCGTGTTTGCCGGGCAGGCAGTATGCAAAATATCCCTCCCCTTCTGGGCTTGCAGGGTTCAGAAGAACACATGGTCCCCCTCAACCAGCTGCTCTGAGTGGCATAGGGGGCATGAAAGGCAGGAAGCCCGACTGAAGAACCTGCTGGGCTGCTGGCCAGGAGCTGCCAAGGAAAGCATTTCCTGGCAACACCCTATCTCTGGCATCCAAGCTCCTTCCTCCCCCGCCCCCCAGCCCTCTGCCTCCCCTCCTGAACCTCTAGCATCTTCCAGACCCTGCAGCCCAATCCTCTACACCCCTTCCTGCACTTCTGCCCCAGGTCACAACCCCCTCCCAGGTCCTGCATTCCCTCCTGCACCCTTCCTCCAGGTCAGAATCCTCTCCTGCACCCATACTCCCTCTCAACCCCTGCCCTCCCCAGGTCCCTGCACCAGGTCTCAGCCCAATTCCTTGCACCAGGTCACAAAACCCTCCCAGACCCTGCACCCCCTTCTCCAGGTCAGAATCTTTCTTGCACCTATGCCCCTCCCCCTCCTGGACCCTGAACCCTCTTCTGCACCCGTGTTTCCTGCCCTAGATCACAACCCCTTCCTTCACCTAAACTTTCTCCCAAATCTCAGACCTTCTCCTGAACCCAAGCTCTCTTCGGTACCTGACCTCCATCCCTGACCCCACACCTCTTCCATGAATATCATGGAAGCATGCAGTTCCCCTGACTCTCTTCAGTACCTGACCTCCATCTCTGACCCCGCACCTCTTCCATGAATATCATGGAAGCATGCAGTTCCCCTGTCAAAAATTATTGCCCACACCAGTCTAGCTATTCTTCCTGGGCTTGCACTTGTCAATCATTTGACCCTGCCCCTCTTGCTAGCAGGTGCCCTGCTATCCTCCCCAGGACAACAGGGGCCCCCGGGCACTCTAAGCAGTGCCTCTCCATTTTTATTGCCACAGATTCTGAATCTGCCCTTGATTTTCCTTTTATCCCAGGGTCAGTGCCACCTCCCCACTCCTCCTCCCCCCAAGAATGTAGTTGCACTCCTTGAGGATTACACAGGTTAGCATGCTCGGTCTGTCACCCCTTCTCATTCAATATAATGCTTTTACAAATGCCTGTTTCAAACTGGCTTGCATTGCAGAGCTCTATCCGCTTAACAAATCTACTATGCTGCTTTGCCAAATGGATCTCTCCACAAAAGGCAAAAACTGTTTCCTATTCAAATAGAAATTGGTCTTCACACCAAATGCCTGATTAATAAAACAAACCAACCCACTTTTGCTGTAAGTCTAACACCATACGCTATGTATGTGCCATAGAGACAGGTACATTGCAAATACACCAACCATGCAAAATGTTTTGATTTGTGAATGCTGGGATCCAGGAATTGACTGTTCTGTTTTGCTTAACGTTGCCTTGACATGAGCTATTAATTGCAACTTCAATGATCAGGGAACTATTTATTCTGATAAATTATCCAGGCTGATGGCCAGTTAGCACAAGGAAGACAACACATTTGCTGATTACAAAACATGTTTTGCCAGAAACTGCAGCTTTCTGTGCAAACAGAAGTCTCTTTTCTAACATGAAGCTAATGGCCTTCCACTTAAAGCAGTGTTGTGTTAGAGGTGCCAATCTGGTGCTTATATTTTTGTCTTGCTTTTTAATTCCTATTTCTGGAACAATGTTCTCAAGCATTGCCATGTGGTTTCCAGGGTGCATGACACTATGAAGTGAGACAATTCAGCTGAGACTAGTCACAAAGATTATTTGTCATTCTCAGCCACACTTCATTCTGGAGAGCCATGTTTCCACTTTTGTGTTGTTCTTGTCATATCACACCCACCGAGATACTGCTGCAAGAGTTTTGATAGCTTTCATATCCTTAACTACCCCCATCTTCTTCTACGAAGAAATTTTACCCCCCAATTACAGAGAGACACTACTTAACTGGAATTCATTTACAAATGTGACATTGTCAGCTTGGACGTGAATAAAGATATTAACTGGTTAATGCATTACAAAAGCAATTTCTTCTGCTTTTGAAATCCACATTTTCACACAAAAAAAGATCAGAACTTAAGGATTCCTCCAAGAGGTAATTTCCACGTTCAATGAAATTACAGAAGATCTGAATTGGAGGCAACTTTAGGCCTTGCAGAGTTTGAACAAGCAACATCTGGGTCTGATTGAATCAATCTTACAATGAGCAGAGAAAGGGGCTAAAAGAAAAAATGTGAAATGAAAGTAGATGCCCTCATTAAGTACTGAGAGCTGAAATGAAATTAAACACAGAGACATGTCAACTTGATCCTATTTTTTATTATACTGAGAAATTAAACACAGAGACATATGTCAACTTGATCCTATTTTTTATTATACTGAGATGAACAAAATACCAGCAAATCAAGGAAAAAATGTCAGTTGATCATTGTTACAAAAGCTCTCATGGATTTCACTGAAGATTTTGAAGATTCTGCTCTCCCCTGACCTTTAAAATTTTTCTGGAATTTGACTGACATTTTCCAGTGGAAATTTGAATTTGTCAGTCTCCTTTGGGAAATATTAATCATGCTGTTATTATATGTAAACTTCAGTTTTCAGAGACATACTTTTTTGTAAGCAAGCACTTTAGTACTTTACTAAAATATACCTGCAATCATGTTTAATTCATTCTGGTTTCACATTCGTTTCTAGTACTCTCCAATTAGATTTTAAATACAAAATGATTCTTTATGTCTGAGTTACAGAATTATATACCCAGTTCCATTTTCTCCTATAATAATTTAAGTTTGTGCTTTGTTTAAATGAAATAAATTAGGATTTATAGTGCTACAGTGCCTGGGAAATCAGCACAAAAAGAAAACTGCTCTGGAACTTCTTCAAAGAAATTAGAAAAATATCAATAATTCAATATAGCTGGATCTTATGAGGAGTACAGATCAAATATGGTTCAAATTGCACTGTGGAAAGATAGAAAGGTCACCATTAAAAATCCACATTAATCAGAGGGGCAACTTTTTACACACAGGCATGGTATTTCACCTTTCTAGTACAGAGTAATATTTTATCTCTTTAGATATGACAGAATGGAAGTTAAGTTAGCTTGCCCACAGGTTGGGAAGGAAGATAGATGGAGATTATTTTAATTTTTAAAGACATGGGAGGTGCTTAGATATTATGGTGATGGATTTTGTAAATGGGTAGCTGCTATTAAAGTTGACTTCCATATTCTAAACTCACTGTGATTTTATCTGTGACTAAAATTTAGACCACTATATTTTAGGAGAAAAAAAATCTTTGTTTTGCAGCCTGTTTTGCAAACTCGCCACTACATTTTAGGAGAAAAAAACCCTTTGTTTTGCAGCCTGTTTTGCAAACTCTTAAATACCCATGACAAATACTTAGCATAAAGTCTACATAATTAAGCTAATTACACCTCATACTTTTTGCAAAGCCAGTTACAAACACACATTTTATTTCCCCTACTTGCTTTAATGATTTTTATTATCAACATCTTTACGTTTAACTTTTCCTAACTATATAGTTTGATTTTAGACATCAATTTCCAAGTTTAGGTCAGGGATGAGAGTCAATATTTTTCAGCGCATGAACAATGAAGATTAAACAAGTGGAAGCAAGATCTCAACTTTAACAAGTTTCGTAATTACCCCCTGGTCCCATGTGGATGTATGTCTGTATCATATTAAAAAAATACATTCAACATACTTTTGAGCAGCAGCTGCCAGTTACACCAATTTGAGAGACTGCAGGACAAGGATGCATTGGCAGAATTTTGAGAATGGGAAAGGAGAAACTGCATTCTGCCAGCTCTAAGCAGGACTATTAGTACTTAATTTTCTTACACATTAAGGGCCTGATTCAAGTTAATGGAAATGCTCTCATTGACTTCAGCAGGCTTTGGATCAGACTTTTAAAGTTCACTCATTAAACATCTCCTTTCCTATCTCACAATAACCCACTATCTAGTAAGGTATGAAAAAAGTTGGAGTGTACCTTTACACAGCTAAAGGACTAGTAGGGCATTGTACATCGTACACGTCACAGGCTTCCAGTATGTATGGAAGTCCTGACATACTGATTTTTCAGGGGTTCAAACTGCTTCTCACCTTTCATACCAAATACATAGTATATCAAATCAACTGTTAATGGCTGGAATCCTAGCTACTTTCATTTCATTGTAAATGAATGTCTACTATCACAAGATCAGAGTTTTCAGTGTATTTCAACTGCATTTCTAATTCTGTCATCCAGGCAGGTATGAGTCATAACTACAGGTAAAATTGTTATAGTTTAGATCCAGCCTAAAATGCAGTGTTTTTCAGCAGTATCAAATGTTGACTGATTGTATTGCTATTGCATGTGTTGCGCTAAAGAGTGTAAGGGTCTGTTGCTTAAAGAACAAGGATATGGAAATAGAGTACGGGTATTTCAAGGAAGTAGATTTCCTAACAAATGCACAACTTACAACAAATACTCCAATCTTGTGACTGATACAGTAAAACTGAATGAACAACAAAACCACAAAATCCTTTTCTGTAGCAGTCACAGAAGGAGTTTTTCAGCATAATTTGAGGCATTTTAGCTCCCAGTAACAGAAAAATAATTGGTATATCTATAGTAACTTCCATCTGATAAAAACTTTACAATCATTAGTGAATTGGGCCCATTGCACTGGAACAAATGTGAAAATGAAGGAAGAGGAGGTTCTGTGATTTACTAAAAGGCTGTGGCAGAACCAGCTTCACTCACAGTTCTCTGCTTTAGCAACAGATACATGCATCCTTCTTATCTAGTTTAATGTTGGGAACACATTCCTGTACTTTACCCTGTAAAACTCACCTACTATGTGCAATATGTCCCTGAGCAGCCACCATTAAAACTCCATCCATTAAGCTGAGCTATACAGGACGAAAATGTGGATCCATTAAGAATTTCATTTTTCTTTGAGATGTAGACTTTTTCTGGCATATATAGAACAATGTACAAGTCAGACTTGGGCATTACAGTAGAAATTTTATTATTATTTTTTAAGACTTTCAACTTAAATACTGTAATAGAATCCTCTGCTAAGCAACATGGCTCACCAAAGACTCTGACAGCTCTGTAATTTGTGTTACAATGAAACTGATACCTGACCTAATGAGTTTTGGTTTTTAAATACAGATATGAACAATGTCTTTACAATTCTTCCAAACGCTCACTGATCATACATTGTACATAACTTATTAGAAGTAACATTTATAAAGTACTGATTGCAACCTTTACATAATTACGGAGTGATGACATACAACAGAAAACAATTCAGTCTGGTTCCTATCTATTGATAAATTACATCTATATCATTAAAAATCAAATGCCAATTTCCGTGGAGTCATAAATTGTTTCACCATTTCATCTGTAATCTGTTTGCGTCTCTGCTGATGAGCTGCTATCAAGGGCTGCAGTGTTTCAATAAGCACCTTCTTTAGCTCTCCTGTGAGCAGTGCTCCGCTTGTATAAGCCTGCAAGAAAGCGTCAGTTGTTAAAAACTTATCTGGTCGTATGGAAAAGGACCTGAATGTTGAGCATAATCTCTTTAAAAGCACAGCTCCTGGCCAATACTGAAGTGATACACTTCAGAAGATCACCTGATATCACAGTGGCAGTGTAATTTGCAACATTACCTACTGATTTTTAAAGGGTTAGCACCACAGTACAACAATTTTTTTAAATTTAACATGCTTCTGTGAGTAAAACTAAGTGAGCAGAGATTTAACTTGAAAATCCAGTTATTAGCTACAGGAAGCCATTTTTTCCTCCCTAGGACATCAGTATAATCAAAAAGTAGCAGTAGCCAGCTTGTACTTCACAACAGCATACCCAAAACTGTTGCTTTTCTTTCATGAGGTTCTACAGAGATTCTATACATGGATAGAGGATCCTGTTTATACTGAATGGCCCTGAAAGTCTATTTCCACACTAGGAAATATATGTGTTTTGCTAGCAGTGCATTCAACTGCACAGCTGTTAAATGGCTTAGTGGCAAACGTATACAGTACCAAGCTCTTCAGCACTGTGTTAGAAACTGTGGCTAAGGCTTAGGGCAGCTCAGCCTTGGTTTTGAAGTGGTAATAAAAACAGTTTGGTTTCATCTGCCTTTACTATTAAGCCATTTTTTCGTATTTGTTCAAGCCACAGTTGTTGCTAATACCCAATGGCTACACTTCTTAAAGCCCAAATGTAATTATTCCAATACATTTCAGTGGACTTTTGGTCTTTTAATGACATTTCACTCAGTTAGGAAGCTGCATCTACAATGACAGTTTTTTGAAACCCTCCCACTATTTCACTATAGTGGGTGTAGTTTCATTAGTGCTAGGCTAGGTGAGGTATTTTTGTCACCAAATCTGAGACAGCATGGTGGTAAAATCCTGGCAGAAGGTCTATTTGTGCATTAGCACTGGAAGTGCAGTGCTTTGTTGATGCAGTGCTAGGAGATTTTCAGAAAACCTCTCTGAAGAAAGCATGTCCCATTGTGCTTCTGGAACATACAAGGACTTGGCTGCAGTATTCTATGGGGATAATGAATGTCCCTAACTTAGCCTCCTTTCCTGTTCAGGGAAAAGCTGTGGGGAGAGAAAGAAAAATTGGCAGCTCCTGGTCTTTCTTACAGCTATTCTGATTGGAGAAAGTCAAACTAGTCTTGTTACAGTGGTTTTCAGCAGTGAGTGAAAGTACTGCCTGGTTAGACCCATCAATGATCCTTACAGGCAGAGTGGTGAGAGGGCCCTATCACAACTCCTGGGACGTGGAGTTATTGTAAGATAGGTTTTAGAGAGAAATTACTTATATTATCATCAAGATCTTTTCTGTGGATTTTATTGTATATATACAAACATGTAGAAAGCTGAGTTAGTCCACAAAGATCTAAAATAAACTTTTCACTAACTTTAAAAGCTACAAAGGTTTAGGAGACAATGGACACTATACAAATATGGTTTATAGGCACAATATACTTTAAGTGGGCTCCTTACCTGCTTCATTTTTTCAAGTTTGTCATCATCTTCAAGGAAGAAGGTGAGATACATATAAGAGACATCCACCTCACAGTTACCCCCATACTTCCTGTGTTCTTCAATAGTATCTTTACCTCCAGAGAAGGCATGCTTATTGATCTAGAACAAAAATAATTATTTATTGTATAAGTTATGTCAAATAGGGATTGCAGTGTGAAGGGCCATAATCACTTATATTAATATTATATACAAAAATTGATCTTAAAGACTAGTTAAGTTGCAAGCAAGAACATATTTGTGCAAAGCCTTAAAGCCGGGCAATAAGCCTGAGCCTGATGCAGAAGGCAATGGGGAGACATGAGTGACAAGATGTGTGGAGCAGTATAAGATGATGGTGCACACAATCAGTCCATCTAGGGGAGTGACAAGATGTGAGGAGCAGTACAAGATGATGGTGCACACAATCAGTCCATAAACTGGCCCGTTAGGTATAATCAAGTTGCATTACAAATTTACCCAGATTTTCATTAAGAACACCTAGTCGTTTCTGCTGCCACTGTCACCATATGTAAGGAAGGCTATGCATTATTATTATTGTACAAAACTATCTTCATACAAATAGCAGCAAATTGTTAAGTATATCCTATATTCACCTCACTGAGAAATTAACTTTGAAGGAGAATGAAACAGAACAGACAGTTTTAAAGAGATTAGACAGAGACTAAAACTGGTAGGATTTAGTAACTATCATAAGTGATGAGAGAAGGAGACAGGAGCTGAAGATAATGGCGCAGGCTGGAAAGACACAGTGTCCAGCACCTTCATTTTTGCTATTTTCCTTTTTTTAAAAAGCCTTCTGTTTACAGACGAAATCCTGTTTGGGATTTATTGCTAGTGCTATAACTAGGTATTTTAGTTGTACAAATATCTAACCTGCATATGAATCTTGCTAAGCTCTGGATTTTAAACGATATCTTGGGTCGGTGAGGTTCATGGGCCAATTATTCATTGTCTGAAAACAATTTTGTAATCAATTTTGAATTTGCCATCTTCAAGTTTTAAGGCATTTCCCCTCATTCTTGTATTATGTATGAGACTGGGTGAACAGCAACTCACAATCTGCCTTTTCTAGACCACTCATTATTTTATATATTTTTATCATGTCTGAACATGCACCTCCACAGTAAGGCAAGCAATTCCAGTCTTTTGACTCTTCAAATAAGAATTTTCTCATGCTTTGAATAATTAATGTTTCCAGTCTCTGAATCTCATCCAATTGTGCAATATACTTACAGAAAGGGACGACTGGTACTGAAAGCAGAATTCCGGCAGAGAGCATACTATTGTTTCATATAGTGATATTTTCGGTATAATTCTTCCCCTCATTCCTTAAGTGTGCAAACATTTTTGAATGCTTCTGCACACTGAGCAAAGGGTTTCATTGAGCTGTTCGCAACAACAAAGTCTTTTTTCTGAGCTGATGAAGTTAATTTTAAAATCCAGTTACATGTATAAGCAGTTGGGATTACTATGCCATGAATTTAAATGTACCATAATGTTGACCAGTCAGCTAGTCCGGTTAGCTCCCTCTCAATATCCTCAAAGTCTCGACTAACTGAATTATAGCTTGAATCTGCAAATTTTACCACCTCAGTGCTCATATTTTTCTCCAGATCATTAAGAAAGTTATTAAAAATCAGCTGTAGTACAGAATCTTGTGCCACGGATTTTTTGTCACAATGGATTTTTGCCATTTATTCCTACTCTGTTTTGTCCCTTAGCCAATTGTTGATAGACAGTACTTTGCCTTTCTCGCCAGGACGTCTTAATTGCCTCTTGGGATGAACTTTTTCAAAGGCCTTTGAAAGTTTAAATCAGCGTTAATTCTCCTTTATACAAAATTTTACTTACCTGTTTGAAAAATTCTATTTTAAGCCATAATTTTTCTTTGCAGAAATGTCTATCATATTGCTATCTGATATTTATAATTCTATCTTTAATTATTGTTTTAACCAGTTGCAGATATAGATTTCCTGGGCTACAATACCTTGGATTGCCCCGTGAGTGCATCTCAGGGGTGAACCAAAGGGCCTCTGTGGGCCGGATCTGGCCCGCTAAGCAGATTGATCTGGCCCGCTGAGGTCCAGCCATTCCCCCACCCCCTATGCCAATCAAGGCCTAGGGACAGAGGAGCACACAGTGCTTAGAGTCAACCCTGGCGGTTGAGTCTAAGTGCCATGTGCCAGAGGGCAGGGAGTGAGAGCACCCCCACCCCCAAGGCCAATCAGGGTCCGGAGGTGGACGGGAAGCACACAAAGTCTCCTCCTGCCCTGCCCTGCAAGGAATGCACGACGCTTAGAAGTGCTGTGCGCTCCTTGCAGGGTGGGGCAGGGCAGGGGGCAGACTTCATGTGCTCTCTCTGCCCCCAGGTCCTGATTGGCTTGAGGATGGGGAGGGAGAGACAGTGCGCAAAGTCTCCTCCCACTGCCAGTCTCCTCTCCAGGGGGACAGGGGCAAAGACTTCACGCTCTCCTCCTCCCACAGACCAATCAGGATCTGTGGGCAGGGAAGCACAGAAGTGTCTGGCCCACTCCTTCCACCTGAGGCCCCACCCATTCTGGGGCAACCCAGGGCCTCTTCAAAAATTTCGGAAGTAGCCCCTGGTCAAAAATGATTGCCCACCCCTAGTGTATATGTTTCTGAGAGGCTGGAGGGAAACTACTTCTATTGTATTTAAATGAATATCACTATTTTAAAAGGTAGAGGTTAAGGTTGTTTCCCCTCTCCCAATAAAATAGAAGAGTTAATCTACCTACTTAATGCCAATTTCTGCATAATTGTGGAATTTTCCCCGCACAAATGCAAAAGGACACAATTGTGAAGCTGTAATTATAATTCTTAAACAAATACTGATGCCACACACACAGCAGTTTATATGCAGAACCCAGATTCTTCACAGAAAAAAAAACTCAGGAAAAAGACTCTAGCTGCTACATTATCTAATAGTTTGTCAAACATGTTAGGAATGCTGCCTAACCAGTCATACACACAACAAATCTTTCTCAGCCCTTGACTGACAATGACCCCTCCTTGACCAACACATGGGGTGAACACTCCTCTTCTGAACACTTAACTTCTTAAGTACAAGGATGACTCATTCTTTGTGCAAAGTACACAGTGAATCATGTCACATGCACACACCTTGTCTAATTTAGTCTCCTATCATTATGCATGTCTGATTTTCTTCAGAATTAAGTGAGTTATGGGAATACACTGGAGAGGAAATAGAAACTCTTTTTAACACCAAAGAGAAGGCTAATGTAATATTTCTGTGCACCAACTAATTAGCTGGAGAAGTGCATGGCAGCAGCAAATCCACTGAGCCGCAATGAAAGTTTGGCCTGCCTAGCAACTGTCACTGTGTAGCACAGTGATATTTGGTGTCATAGAGTAGTCAACAAAGAACAACAAGAACTCTTCATTTGATTTATATCACAGATTGCCAGTCTTTAAAATTATAGATATCTGCTATGTATTTGTGGAATAGGGATATTGCCAGTCCTTATTCTTATGGCAAAACTCTGCAGACACCAGTAGAACAAACAGGATTTTTAGTACATTAAATATTATTCTGGTAGTTTAGCTGACAGGGCAAAAGATCAGACTAGGTTGGTTATGTTTGTCTGACTCAGTCAATTTCTGAAGATACATCAGAATAAATTCTAAAAAGGAAAAAAGATGTGGATGTAGGGCTGCAGCATGAAATCACCCCTTTAATAAATTATATCTACCAATGTGACGTGATGTATGTAATCTCATGAATTGTGGCTCAATTTTTATGAACGGGATTTTGATTAATTTGTTAGTAACCTGTTAAGAATTGCCTTTGGAGAATCTGTTGTTGTAACTTTTTCTTTTTGGAACTTTTTTAATATAGTGTAACTGAAACCCCATTTTAAACTTTGTATTGCCTTAACTCTGTTAAAGTTAGGTGTAAGGAATCAGTCCCTGAAGCCAGCCTGTCTGGAGACCAGCTGACAGCACCACTTTGATGGCTGAAGAACAAAACAAACGAGCCCTGCAAAATAACCCACCGAAGGGAGAGGGAGAGGAACAAAAACTCCATTGAGAAAAGAAGATCCAAGTCTCATCTGCTGTAAACTACTGACTCATGGTCATATAGTGTTCTCGGGCAGTGCAACACCACAAGATCTAGGGACTAAAATTTACAAAAAGATGGGTGCAAAACTACAGAATTGGGTCTTTCGGTTCTACAATCATCCTCTAGGAGCATCAGTGCACATTAACACGATCTGGCTCCTCTCCTCATGTCTAGACCACCTGGCCAATTAAATATCATGAGCAAATGAGGCTGGTAATTATATCCCATCTGTAGAACTGTGTGCATGAGTGTCAGTATGTACAGTGAGTAATTTTAATAGTTAGGGTTAGTAAATGAATTCTGCCTTAAAAAATAGACGTGGCATATTGCCTTATCCCCCAACAAGATTCTGCTAGTTCTACAAGCATTAACATGGGTATGTTTAAAATAAATGGTCAACAAAATGAAAAAAAGGGCTTATTGTAATCCTCAAGCAAATTATTCCACAGAATATAGAGCTGTATTTGTTTCCCATGTTGTGTAGGTTCTTACCTTTGTCTTGATCTGCTTGGGTGTGTCAGTGAGGAAGATGGAGGAATTGGGGTCACTAGCACTCATTTTTGTCTGTGCGCCTTGCAGTGCTGGGAAGAAGATTGAATGCAGCAAAGCTGGTTTAAGATATCCAATCCTTGGGGCTACATCCCTGGTCATTCTAAAATAAGGATCCTAGAACAGCCAACAATAAAAGCCTTGAATAAAATGGAATATGCATAGTTCCGAACTGTTTGATTAGAACTGGTTCAGGTTCCAATCAGTGACCTTCAGGAAAAATCTCTCAGAGTCAATTTAAATCCATTAATGAGTGCCCGGGCAATGCCCCTCTGCCATGTACATTGGCTAAACTGAACAGTCTTTATGACAAAGGATTAATGGACACAGATTGGATATTCAAAATGATCTCTCTCAGAAACCGGTTGGGGAACATTTTAACCTGCCCAGGCACTTATTAACGGATCTCAAAGTGACTATATTATTACAAAGCAAAAACTAGATGAGGAACTTGCCTTCATTTGCAAATTTGACACCTTTAATTAAGGTTTGAACAAAGACATGAACTGAACAGGCTGCTACATTCTACATCCTAATGACATCAAAAGTTAAGTATTAGGCACTTGTAGCCCACTCTATTAGCTTCATTTAGCATGGACACTCCAAGTGACAAGATTTTTACCTGTAAATGGCTGAAGGTGGGTTATGTTAACCTGTGTAACTAACCTATTGGTAATGCTTAGGAAATAGGAGATTACATCAGAGATATAATCCTTACACAAAAGACAGCTGGGGGCAGGAAGCACCGCCAGCCAGAACGAGGCTGACAAGTTGGATTGGAGCTCCACCAGTGGGCCTGGGCAGCATACTTGCTGGACTGGTGGCCAAGAAGGAAAGCCTGGGAGAACCTGAGGCCTGACCTTCCCTAGTCTGGCAAACCCCCTTGTTTGGAACTGTTCAGGTCCTGAGGGTGCCAAACTAGGGAGCTCCAACCTGTATTAGAATAACCACCAGTTTGGAGGTCTGGCTGCCCCATTCTTTGCAGTTTGCCCTAAGTGAGCAATCTCTCCATGGCCCCCGAGACCTCAGTTATAGGATATAATGCAATGGCTCGGTACTAGACTTAGGAAACATGAGTTCTATTCCAGGCTCTGCCATGGATATGGTAGGTGATCTTGGGGAAGTCACTTCCTTTTCCTGTGCCTCAGTTTCCCCAGCTGTAAAACAGGGATAATGATATCGATCTTTGTAGTGCTTTGAGTTCTACTGATGAAAAGCACTATAAGAGCCACACATTACATGTGACCATAGTACATACATTTGAAAACTAGGGATTAGTTGGATATCATGACAAGTTCAAGACTTAATGGGAATCCATATGAAATTAGTAAAGTGCCTACAGGGCTCATAAGCCTGCATTATTCCTATTAGGACACAGTACAAGACCTATCCATATTCTCAGACTTCTGCCTAAGGAGGTTGCCTGTGAGATGGATGTTTTCTAATTTTTTGTCACCCCAAAAAATCTGATGGGTGCATTTTAAAAATCCCCAAACCACATAAAATAATTTCTAACCTGATCAATGGCACATGGGATAAGACACTGAATGTCTTTCTTGTCTTTGAAGATTTGTGGAAATGATGAGCTAAAGGATGGAGCAGCTTGGATAGCAGGAAAACTGATCTTCCCTAGGAAAGAACACACTTTTGAGCATTTTTATTTGCCCCTTGCCAGTTGAATAACATTCAACACACACAAATATTTAGCACTACAGTAAGAGAATTAAGAGTTGTATTACAGAGATGGATTTAGTCTATTACCACATAAAAAAGTGAATGTTTGAGTTCAGCAAGATGAGAATTGCTGTCTTTCTAAAAGGTATGTTTTAGACCCCACACTGTGAGAAACTGTGCAGACTGTGAGTGTGGGGAGTTAGGCTGGCCCTTTCTGGCTTTGGAATCCGTGAATCCCCATTCATTCCCTTCTTTCACAGGCCCTAGGGAGAACAGAAAGCTCCGCACTGCCATCAATATGCTTATTTTTCATTAAGAATGTGACTATCATCTAATCTCATGCTTCAGACTTTTCCAAAGATGCCTTTTGCCGTCTCCAGGAGAAGCAGAGGAGATGGTGTGTATTACCTCCTTGCCTGGTTTCCCAAGGCTGAGATTCACAGCTCAACTCCCTCTCCAAATTGAAGAGGGGCAATGGTAGATTTCTCCAAACTGGAAAAAGAGTGCTCAGTGTCCCCACAAAGCCTAAATAACCGTGGCCATTTATAACAAACCTCGTTTTTTCTCCCTGGAGCCCAGCCAATATGTGGGAATCACACCCTAGAATATAACAATAAATTCTGAGAAGCTAAAGGAGGCCTGAGGAGTTTGAGAACAGGGCTGGGAACCAGAAACTTGAGTTCTAATGATATCTTTGAGCTTCAAAGCCATTTGGAACTATAAGCACCTACAACTATATGAATGGAAGCTGTGGCTGCTCAGCACCTCTGAAAATTAGGCCTTTAGCACTCTATTTTTCAATCTGAAAAATACAGATAGTGTACTTATACCTTTTTGAGACTAGATTAAAACCTGGAAAATGCATTTAAGGTAGAAAGTGCTATAGAAGTGTTATTATTAGGTATTAGTTATAGCACTGAATTACACAAAGAATTACTCTCTACACTGTGGACATTGCATGAATGTCAACAACTTCTGTATTTCATACTTCATTGCTATCGAGGCCATAAACAGCCGCCCTTACACTGGGAAAACTTACAGTGGTAGCTAAAGGTGTTTTGCCTAAGTAAGGACTCTAGGACTATGTCCTACGTGATCAGTTCAAAATATTAATATTTGTGCTACTCTGGTCAGTTTTTCCAATGAGCAGCAGGTGCTAGTCTGTTTACACAATCAAGGTGCCTTTGGTATCACACAAAATGCAAATAGCAGTCCTTTCCAGTAACTCACATTCATTTTCTTACCAATGCAATCACTGTCTGTAAAGCCAAAGATCCCCTTCACTTGATTAAATGTAACATGCTTCTGAACCTTTGCAATATTCTTGTAGAATCCTGGACTCATTCTGTAAAAAAAAAGGGGGGGGATATAAAGGCGAAGAATTTAATGTCAAAGAGGGGAGACTAATTTTCTGTAATAGCATCTAAACAACACAGATATATTTTTATACCACCACAGAAGCACTGCTTCTGGTATTTGTTAAAAAATTAGGTTCTAAATTTATTGATAATCTAGATTTAATATTTATGAAGTTTATAGCCTTTTCTCCACAAGCTAACATACTACTTGGTCACTGGGGCTGGCTTCACAACTGGTTTTCAATGGAAAACTGGGTTTTTAACCAAATTAACTGTTTGCTTTTTGTAGAAAATTTCAGTTTTTTTGTTAAAAAAAAACCCAACAACAAACAAACAACAACAAAACACCCTCAAATCCCTGAAAAATCAAAATACTAATAGGTAGGTGGCTCTGGGGAATTGAGGTTCAGACACCTCCTGTTTCTGTTCTCCTCTATGGGCTGAGATTCCTGATGGAGATTATCTTCTATGATGCATTGTTGCCAGGGACTTCTTCCTCTCCAAGAGGGAAGACTGCAGTGTATCATGGGAGACCACAAGTCAGGTTGGCTAATATGGAAAAGGAGCTTGACAAACCAGAACAACGACTTCCATGAGGCACCATTCCCTAATCAAGAGGAAAAAAAAGACCAGTTCTGTTGTTCAGGAATGGCCATCTTTTGGTCTGCAACTAACCTTTGTGCAGCTAATCCCTATGCTATCATCCCCAAAAGTGAATTTTGCAGCAACAGGACCAGGTAGCTACCATAGAAAGGAAAGAAAACAAGATACCTAGAGACACCTTTCTTCAAGAGGAAAGGCGTGGAAGTTCTTTTTACTAAATGGAAAAAAAAAAGAATGAAAGAACGAAAAAGAACAAAAGAATGAAAAAGAAAGAAAAAAAGAAATGTTTTCCTTCAGGGAAGAAGGAGTAGGCAAGTCTAGTGAAAACTTCCAACTCTGTCCCCTAAGTCACCAAGCCCCACAGGAACTATTTAATCAATCATCACCATCATAGTATCTGAACATCTAATTTACATGCCTTCCCTAAGCATCCATGAATAGATTATTTTCTTGTGGAAGAAAATGTAGGTATCTGAATTAATTTTGTTCAAAGTTGGCTTGACTAGCAGGTCTCATTAAGACAGAAAAACCATATTAAGAGAACCCATATTTTACATGCGCAGGCACAAGAAGGCAGTTAGGCTGTGTCTACACTAGCAAGTTTATAGACACTCACAGCTGTACCAATACAGATGTGTCACTGTAAAATTACTCTCGTAGCCACTCTCCTGTCAACATAATAAATCCACTTCAATGAGCTATGTTGGCAGGAGAAGTTCTCTTACTGACATAGTGCTGGGCACATTACCATGAATGCTGGCAAAATGTATGTTGCTTAGTGTATGGTTTTTTCACATCCTGGAGTGACATAATTTTTGCTGACATATGTGGTAGTATGGATTTGGCCTTAATATTAACTTTTCAACATTTCTTGCTGAGTGTGTGTGATTTCTTCCCCTAAAATCTTGCATTAGTTCTAAATTTGTCATAGAATATGAAACACTACATACACTTATGTATGCAGTAAGTATATACGACTACAAAATGCACTATAAACAAAATATATCTGTTCTTAATCATAACACTTTACAAATGTTTAATTCACTTTCCTTGGAAAGAAGATTAATGGACAATCAACTATATAACTTTACATCTTTGGGAACATTTGTCAATAATTGCAGATTCATGAGAATTTTTAGCAATACTGCAGCCCGAACAACTGTTAGTCAGCAAACATTGCTATTTCTGTTCAAGGCTAAAATAGGTCTCCAAATACACTTTAATATGTTTATACAGCATGAGTGTGTTTACATATGGTATGGGTGGAACGTTCACATGCAGTCTGTCTTGTTTTATCTCAGCTCCCACTGAAGTCAATGGGAGTTATACATAGACACGAATGGGAGGAGAGGTAGGCCAATGTAGAGCGCTTTGAAAATCCCTCCTTAAGCATTATTTTTGACATTGGCAGGTAGGAAGAAATGAACTAATTTGTTAGAGATAGTTCACATAATCTTGTTAATTAATCTTTACAATGGAGAGTTTGGGACTTCTCAGCTGCATTGTTCTTCCTTATAAATATATGTTGTGTCTACTGCCATTAACATTGGTATAAAATACTTGAAGTTTTAGGTCTTGGAAGTTCACAAACTTGCCTGAATATAACCCATTATCATCTTACCCCAAGTAGTCAAGATCAGAAAAGATAAAGGTTTTATTGATGTCAAAACCACAGGCTATGATGTCTTTTGCATTTTCCACAGCATATTCAGAAGCTTTCTCAATTGTCAGATCTTTCCACAGGTACTTCTCATCATCAGTCAACTGTACAACCAGCGGAACATTAAATACTTCTTGCAGCCATCTAATAGAAATTAAAATATTTTATTTTGTATAACAACTTAAAGCAAATGGGTTACACAGCCAAAATATTTAAATTAATTCAGGCAATATAAAAGTAAAGGGGCTTGATTCTCCACAGCTTTATACCTTGTGTCATAAAATATGCTTATCCAAAATGGATGGAAAATTGTGCCAAACCAGAGCTCTCCACTCACCTCAAGACTAGTGCTTTACGTGCATGTGCCATAGAAATAAATGGTTACACAGGGGAGTGGAGAATCAGGCTCAAGGTTTCTATTGCTGTGTTAGTGATCACACTGTACTTTTGACTCTTTTCTTTAACAAAGAAAAATGTGTGCGCCACGTAGGAGACGTAATGCTGGTGTATAGACAACAATAGACTTACTTTAAGCAGGCCACTGTAAGAGTTTCATTAACAATATTTTTGCATTTAATTTTATATACAGCTGAAATAACACAGACAGTCATAGGACACAGAATCATAGAAGATTAGGGTTGAAGAGACCTCAGGAGACTCTTTAGTCTAGCCCTCTGCTCAAAATAGGACCAACCCCAGCTAAATCATCCCATGTACCATTTTTATAGCTTTAAATGCTGTTCAAAATTTCAGAAGAAAAACAAATATTTATTTAGTAATAAACTAAAAATTTAGATGTCAAAGTTACTTACTTTGTGAAAATAAATGGGATAAGATGACCAACATGCATAGCATCTGAGGAGGGACCTCTACCTGTATAAAGGTAAAAGGGCTTCTTATTTTCATATGCATCAAGAATGTGGTTCATATCTCTAGAAAATAAAATAGAGGAAAAATGATATGACTTGGAGAATTTAATAAAAAAGGTTAAATAAATAAACCTGTAGGTGAATAAATCAGCTCCAAAAGGAACAACTGGCAAGATACAGTAAAAATTTTGAATAGAAAAATGAAAGCTTTTAAATGCAAAATGTATTCACAAACCAATTATAGTAACTTAAAAAAGTCTTATAAATATACAGTACACTTCATAAGAATTATTTTAAAAAAAGAGAAGGTATTGGCTGAGCATATTTAAAATATTCAGTTAAAAAAAATAAGTTATTTAATCGAAAAATGTAGGTTTTGTATATGCCCTGTATGATAAATTAAGGACCCAAGACTGTGTCTAGACTACATCCCTCTGTCGAGAGAGGGATGCAAATCAAGCACTTCGGAAGTGCAAATGAGAAGGGATTTAAATATCCCAGGCTTCATTTGTATACTCATGTTCCGAAGCTGTGCTGATCAGGCTCAGTGTCGAAAGTGAAAGTAAAGTGTAGCCGCGGCTCTGCCAACAGCGGGGAGCTTTTTCAGCACTCCTGTACGCCAAAGTGCTTGATTTGCATCCTTTTCTCAGCAGAGGGATGCAGTCTAGATGTAGCCTAAATGTCTATTGGGATCCATGTATCTGTGTTGAGTCTCATTGAAGTCAACAAGGACTCTGCACAAGCCTGGAGGTCTATGCTAGCAGATCCCAATAGAGAAGAGGGGCCTAAACATACACCCATGTTTGGATATTATACTATGTTCAATGCATGAAAATATGCATTCTTGGAATGATAACTTTTCACCTACCAACAAACAAAACAAAAACAAAATCAAAATCCCAACAACACAACAGAAACCCAACTCCTTCTCCACCCCTCTAATTTCTTACAACAATACAAAACCTTTGAAAGAAAGTTATACTGGAGCCCAAGCAGATTTAGTTCTTGTGATAGTTTATAATGCTTCTGAACCCAGTTCTGTTATTACTACATATGTGGAATGAATCACACTAAAATATAAATGCTATTTACTTCAGGAAGTGTTTACTGTTTTTAGTATCTAACTTCAAGAGGAACTATGACACTTTCAAAAGAAACTGTTCTTTGTTAAAACAGTAAGTTGAAAGAGCATTCTTACTTTTAACATAATTGTATTTTCACTTGCAATCTTCCATGTTATTCATTTATTCAGTCACAAGACCATACACCGAAAGTGTGATTTCTTATAATCCGTGACTACAGCAAAGGTTTTGCTTTTCCCTTCTAGTTTTTCCCAAACTTCCCCTACTTTATTGGGCTATATTTTACTCCCAGCAATGATACTGTAAACCAAGAGAAATTTCACTAACTTGAAGCGCTTTTATTTTGGGTTTTTGTTGGTATAAATGAGAACTGGATGTGGTTTTCTGTGGGATACAGGTTGCTCCTGCCAAGATTAATAGAAATTGCATGCACCCCGATCCATATGTTTCTGTGTTTACTAGCCTCTGAATATTACCAGAGGAGCAAAAGAAAACCTCACCCACCTATGAGAAAAAAAGATGCCTCTGCGCAGAAAGTGGTGAGGTGTTTTTCCAGTAACTCTCTCTATTCGATTGATTAGCTCTTTATCAATTTTACTGCTTCCAAATCGAACTGAAAAAACAAATGCACAACAAATTATAAGTATAGCTAGCTAAAACCCACTCATGGATTTAAACAAGATATTGTTCAGGCACAATGGCAAAGAAATCATCAAGTGCATCATATCCTAGGCTTCAGACCTCTAGCTCGCACCTACAGGCAGTCCCCGGGTTACGTACAAGATAGGGACTGTAGGTTTGTTCTTAAGTTGAATCTGTATGTAAGTCGGAACTGGCGTCCAGATTCAGACACTGCTGAAACTGACCGCCAGTTCTGACTTACATACAGAATCAACTTAAGAACCCCAGGCGTCCCCAAGTCAGCTGCTGCTGAAACTGATCAGCAGCTGATTCCAGGAAGCCCGGGGCAGAGCAACT